GTAATATAGATTGTAATGTAATGTCAAGTGTGTCTGGTATTTTTGTTGAAACCATCTGGCAGCCCTACCTAGAACAATGGTGGGCAACCTGCAGCCCATGGCTCATCAAGGTCATTGGATTGCCGGCCATGAGACATTTTGATTATTTTGATCATCTGCAGGCACTGCTTCCCTCTCCACCCCCCTTTTCCAGTGGCTGCAGTTTTCTGTCTCCAGACAATGGAAGCTATGAGGTAAACAGGGCCACAGGATTGTGCTTGTTGCAGCTTCCCACAGGAACAACGAGCCACGGCCACTGGAAGTTGTGGAGGGCAGTGCCTATGGACAGTCAATGTCAGCAAAATGTCTCATGTCCCACAATCAGATTACCTCGATGAGCTGCATGCAGCCTGTGGACTGCAGGTTAACCACCACTGACCTAGGTTTCTCACCCATGCGAGTATGAAGGGGCAGGATATTGCCAATTAGTCAGTGAGAGATAAGAATGAAGTGAACTGAGAGCCCAGCTGAGATACTATGAGCCTTCTTCTATTGTGTAACAGTGAAAGCGTGCTTGTGTTTAAAGACGTGAAGCGTGTAAGTAGTGACTAATAACGAACATATTTAATGAGATGTCACAGGTAGATAGCAGTTCAATAGCTATGAAACAGTTTTAAAAATACAGTTTCTTACTTTACAATGCTTAATTCAGAATGTTTAATGACTTTCTAAAACCGTGAAACATAGCCTTTTACTCTCCATAATGCGGTCTGTTTTCCACCTTAGAAAATAAAAGATGCCCCCATGCAAATGGTGCAACAAAGCCATGAAGTGCAATACAAATGGGAAAAAAATAAAAAAAGCCAAAAGTTTATCAAAAAAAGGGAGTCACCATTTGGAATAGAGTTGTCCTCGGGTTTATGGGTCCAACGGGATGGTGAGGAGAAGGGTGGCTGTGACTAAGACCCATTCCCTCACCACTCCTCTCATGCTGCAGTCCCTGCTTTGGCTGTTTCAGCTTGTGAAGAAGCGTGTGATCATATGTTTGAAGATTCTTGAAATGTATCTCTACAAGGGAGCAGAGTTAAACATGTATGTGTAAACTTCAGCATGGCTGGTTTGGAATGTCTGACCTTTTACACACTGTAAACTGTATATTACTTTATATAGCGCACACGGCTCTTTATTATGTTTGCATATGAAACTGAGTGCCCATAGGCAACTAGACTTCACGTTATATTGTAAAATATTTTGTTTTTCTAGAAACTAATGACCTCCTAGAAATATGAAGGAACATTTATGCCTTTAATATGAGAGTGACAGTACTGCCCGAGGCCTGCTTTAATATAGATATTTCTCTACTGCTGTTTGTTGAGCTTTGACTGCAGTGTTTTCTGCTTTATTTCTGTTAGCTCAGTTAGAGGACTTGCTAAGGTTACTTATGTGGAATGGGTTTACAATAATTACCCCTCAGCTCAATTAATCTTTTTGCTTCCTTATTTTAAACTACTAGGATTATCTTTTTATTGTGTCAATCGGTCTTGGTTAATCTTTGTCTGCTTGTCCTCAGGTTACCGAGTATTGTTTCCCTTAATTCAAAAGAAAATCTATCAGCATTCGCTGTCACTCCCGTAGCATTCTATTAGAAAGTGTGTTGATGAAGTATGGCTGATGAATTCCTAGCACCAGCTGTTCTTTCCAACTGCTGCTGGATAAATGAGAACCATACACAAATACGTTGCACAGTAATCATTGTGAACTAGCAACATCTGGCCCATTTGCAGGTGCCCTCTACTGCCCTCATGACAAGGTAATTAAGGCATGCATTTTATATTGTACCCAGGAAAAAATAGTTGATTCCATGGAAACCATTGTTTGATGAAGGGAAGTGACTAAAAATAAATGAGCTTATTTTGCTGTTGTTTCAGACCCAGATTTCAGATAATTGGGGTCTGGCCAAATGGAGATTTTCTCTCTCTGTTTTTGTGCAAAGGAAAGTGTTTTGCTTTGAATTCCTTGATTTAATAACTACTGGCAATGAAGTCACAACTATGAGTCTTCTACTCTACATTTGTGGAAACTCTTAGACTTTTCAAAGCTCATCCTATCCCTGAATAGGAGAGGCCAGGCTATACCATTGTAAACTTGGAATAATATCATTGATGTCTCTGCATCTACACTGGTATAGTATCAGATTTGCATATGAGTTCTAGCTCTGCAGTTTTATGCTGAAGTCTGTTTTTTACAGTTTTTCACAAAAAACCTTCAACCAAAAATACTTCAAAAACAGAATTCAGCATTTAACTGCAGAGCTGGAACTCATATGCAAATTTGACACTGAGGCTGCGTCTAGACTGGCAAGATTTTGCACAAATACTTTTAACGAAAAGGTTTTTCCGTTAAAAGTATTTGCGCAAGAGAATCTTTTGTGTAAAAGCATCCGTGCCAGTGTAGACGATCTCATGCGCAAGAAAGCTCCGATGGCCATTTTAGCCATCGGACTTTCTTGCGCAAGAAATTAACTTGGTTGTCTACATTGGCCCTCTTGCACAAGAATACTTGCGCAAGAGGGCTTATCCCTGAGCGGGAGCGTCGGAGTATTTGCGCAAGAACCACTGATTTTGTACAGTACAAAGTCAGTGTTCTTGTGCAAATACACTGTTGGCCAGTGTAGACAGGCAGCAAGATTTTGCACATAAGCGGCCACTTCTGCGCAAAATCTTGCCAGTCTAGATGCAGCCTAACAGGCTGGGTCTGCAATGGAGACTGGGAGTGGCTATCTTACCACAAGTAGTAATTTTCCTTCTTTTGGCATTTACACCTTCTCATCAGCTGTTAGGAATGGGCCCCATCCATCCTGATTGAATTGATCTTAGCACTGGTTTTCACTTAAAACCCATTTATCCTGCCTCTTTGTTCTGTGTTTGAACTCAGGGTGTAGGGATTCTCATGACAAAATTTTGATGGCCTCAGAGTATGGCAACAAAGTCTTGCTAGTGGCCACTCTGACAATTTTTCCTAAAATACTTAATTAACTCTAGGGAAAAACCCCAAATAAATATGCACATGTACATGTTCAACTCATTGTAATTTATGTATTACAGGGTCAGAGCAGAAGGCTATAAAAAAGTAGGGGAGGGGTAATCTATAAGCCTCAAACTGAGGAGATCTCTGTTCCCAGTGTAACAGGGAGGGGCTGGTTTAGAACCAGAAGAGGCAATCTGGGCAGTAGAACACCTGGGGCTAATTGACGAGGCCTGCAGAGCCAGCCTAGGTTAATTAGGACACCTGGAGGTAATTAAGAAAGCCAGTTCAGACTGGCTATAAAAAAAGCTTTGCTATAATTGGGGCACACTTGTAGCTGAGAGGCCAGAAGAGAACACCACTGGGAGTATGAGGAAAGGAGACAACAACTGAACACTAGGAGGATGAACTGGAGAGAAAGAAGGTGCTGTGGAAGGTGTGGGGAAGTAGCCCAGAGGTCTTGGAGCTGTCTTACAGCATGTGTCGGATTCACACAGTAGCTACTATTACAGGGCTCAGGGCTGGAACCTGGAATAGAGGGTGGGTCCGGGTTCCCCCGCAATCCCCACCTCCTCTTTTCCACTCAGGGAAGAAGATTGTGGAGTTTATTCTCTGTTTTACTATATGCTGGCCAATGATGAAAAGAGCTCAACAAACTAATGCCGGGGGCATGGTACCCAAAACTGTGGGCTGTTGTGAGCCTCTGAGGCAAGCAAAATCCACCAGGAAGCACAGGACCCACCAAGTTTCAATAGGAATTTTGTCACAGTATGTAGAGGTTTTTTGGCAAACTTAACAGTACAACTATTGTAGAGTTGTCTGTATCGGACCTAAGCAGAATAGAAATAGAAATGAAGTGTTTTGCACATTCTCATCTTTTGTTGCTGCTGCTGTCTCTTTTGCTTTTTGCTTGCATTTTTTCAAAAAGATGTGTTAGTAAATCTGCTGCTGCATAAAGTAATATTTGTATGTTTGGTTTTTTTCACAGCAAACTTACTAGATAGTTGTGAGGCTGTGAAAAGTGATATTAACAAGCATACAAATATCAGTTTTCAATACCAATAACAGTTTTCACTGCAGACTAAGCCCTGGATGGGGGAGTGGGTAGAAGAAAATAAGGGCAACTTTTTAAGAGCAGCATCTAGTTTTTGGGTGCTTCTGTTCATGTGGTGCTCCAGGCGATTTTAGGCTCATTTCAACAGGTGCTGAGCTCTCACGGTTTCTGTTGACTTCGAGTGGAATTAGCTGAAATCAACTCTGAAAAGCAGGCACTCAAAATTACACACCGCTCTTAGTAATTTTGACCTTGGAGTCTAAAGGTGCATCTATGCTGCAGGACTTAACTTGAAATAAGCTACGTAAATTGAGCTACGTCAATTGCACAGCTTATTTTGAAATTGGGAGTGTTTACACAGCACTTATTTTGAAATGGAGCACTCATCTCCCAGCTTCCCTTACTCCTCGTACAACGAGGGTTACAGGAGTCAGAGCAAGCAGCCCTCCAGTTTGACAGTATTTCGACATTATTTTGAAATAAATGCTGGCAGTGTAGACACAGACATACCCTAAGACTCTAAAATCTCACTTAGCATTCTCATTTACTGCAGTGTTACTGCTCATGTTAAACACATGCCTAAGTGGCCGATGGATCATGGCATAATGGCCCATGCTTGCTCCCATTGAACACAATAGAAGATTCTTCATTATTTTCAATAGGAGCAGGCCCTCGTAGAGTAAAGACTTGCTTTAAAACATGGGTTTTATTTTGTTTTTTATTCAGTGATAATATTTTTTGCAAGGTACTTGATGCATGAAGACACAGAATAGTAGTATATATAGATATGCTTTATCAGAGGGTTTCTGCAGTTTAGTTCTAGGGAAACATTCTCTTATGTTTGCTTGATTCTAAATTATTTCTGGATAATTAGGCAATTAATGAAGCAAAAGTTCTAGACAGTTTTTACCTAATTACCTTTGTAATATCTCTATTTGCAAATTGCATTGAGACTGTTTCATCATACTGTCATTAAACCAAAACCTTTCTGAGTTTGCACCCTGCACATGTGCAGGCACTGAATTTTTTCTTCCTTTATTTTTATCACTGAATTCCAGAGAGATAAGGACTCCTTGTAGAGCCAGTGCCACCTAGACCAGTCCCCTTGAGTACGTCATTAATGTGGTCTGGCTGGATATTCAGTTTCTGTCCATCACTGACAGTCTTGTTCCACCCCTGAAGCTATTAGCAACCTCATGCTTACGGTGTCCGGGTGGCCAGTTTTGAATTGGACATTCCAGTATTTGAGCTTTCTGTTCGGGAAACAAATTGAGAAAATATAAATGAGAAAATATAAATGTCAGGTATTTTCTAAATAAGATGTAATATAGATTGTGACATAATATCAAGTGTGTCTGGTATTTTTGTTGAAACCATATGGAAACCCTATCATGATTGCTAGCCATGTAGTGGCATTCGTTGATTCACATGCTTCAGAATTCATTAGTCTTCCATTCTAATAATAAATCCATATAAAAAAGCCACAAAAACCAAACCACGGCTAATGGAACTGGTGATGAAGTACCATTTTCCTCATTTTGACAAGAAAGGGCAGCTTTAGCTGTTTCAGGTAATGTTTCAATATCCTAAACAACAGTTTAATATTTGCCATCAATGCACAGGGATGGTCCTTTCACAAAGTTCCCTGGGTTATTTTCACCCCAGCGGCAGTGAAGTTCTTGGCAATTTCTGCTAACAGGACCATTGGCCAGCTTGTTGTAGGTGGTGAGTTTCAGTATAAAAGACCTTGTGATGTGAACACACTGACTCCAAAGGCGTCCTTTATGTTTCTGCAGGCAGAGAAATAAAATATAAAATATAAAAAAATAAAATATAAAACATAAATCAAGGATGCTTGCAACAAGCTGACAGCAAAAAAGCAAGAGAATGAATTACATACATACAAAAACTTTCAAATTTATAATTAAAATAAATATCCACAAAACATTGGGTTACACATTCTTATATTGTGCAATCATCCTATAATAATCTTAAAATTTAGCATGCAAACTATGCAAAATGACTAACTGATATTTTATGTCTTTTCTGACCATGGGATATTCACCTTCATTGTATGCAAAATGACTAACTGATATTTTATGTTTTTTCTGACCATGGGATATACACCTTCATTGATGACTGAACTACTTTGATCAGTTTTTTTATCATTAAAAATGCTAGTTTCTTTCAGATGAAAAATGCTCACTATAGATCTTGGAGCACTTTGTAAAACAATGTAAGTGTCATTTTATAGATGATAAAATGGATGCCTACAGGGGATGAGTGACTTGTGCAAGCTCATGCAGGAAGTTAGTATAAGAGTTACAAAAAGAAATAAGATCTCCTGGCTCCACCCTGCCTCTCTATATGAGATCATGGGCATGCACATTCCCACTTGCCTAAATCACACACTGCTTTCACACAAGCCTTTCGCTACAGCAGATGCTTTCTAATTGAGGGCTGTGCCCTCTTAGGGTGGCACAGAGGAACACTTGGCAATGGGCAGGCCAGGAGTGTAGCCAACTCTGCATGGCAGGACTCGAGTGAGACTTGGAGAGGGAGTGCCACTGTCACCCCCAACTCCCCTCAGCAGTCTATGCAGCATTGCATGTGTTTATTTGTGTCAGTGTTGCAGGGGCAACCAAAACCTGTACCAAAAGCAGGGATCAGCTCAAAAAGTTTGAAAACTACTGCGATGAAGGCTAATATCATATGCTTTACAGGAACTTCAGTTGCAGACCCATAACTTCATCCAGTGAGTCAGAAGCCATTCATATTTTACATGGTTTGCTTCACATCACTCCTGCTCTGCTGCACCTGCAAGGTGAATGATTTGGCTGTGGTTTAAAAGCAAAGGAGCGAGAGGCAGAATACCAGGGCTCTGGGGTTGGCTTTTCTCCAGCTCATCTTATCTTTTGTGCCTCTGTTTCAGCAACTTGCAGGATCAAGCTTTTATGGGAGCTGGCTTAATTCTATAAGTCCGAGAATGTAAGAATGGCTCAGTGGCTAGCCTGTGTTCTGGGCAGCTAAGATTCAATTCCTGCTCTACCAGATTTCCTGTGTGATCTGGATCAACTCCTTTAGTCTGTGCCACTGTCAGATGAGGATGATAATTATTTCCCTACCTCACTGGAGTGTTGTGAGGATACATATATCAGACACTGAGGAATACTATGTTTCTATGGCAGTGCTTCCCAATTTTATTTGGCCACAGCACCCTTTTAAACTCGAAAGAATTTCGCAGAACTACGAATAACAGTGTAATATATGGAGCTGAAAAAGTAGACCACAAATACGTAAGGATAATAATAAGCAAATGCTAAACAAGGTCATGAGATCAACATTTAGTTTAATTGCACATATTTAAAAACAAAAATAACATAATATGAATTATTATTTTTTTTAAACCAAAGAAATGTTTTTGTAATGGAATTTTCTTGCTGAACCCTTATTTTCACTTCGCGGAATCCCATTTGAGAAATACTGTTCTATGGTAAGACTGGGCCATACCTATGCCTAGATTGTGTTTACTAGTACAGGGTTGCAAGTGTAACCCATGTACTTAGTGGGTGTGATTATCTGTCCCATGTAGTGGCACTAGGACCGGTCATAGTGGAAAAAGACTCTGTGGCCTTAGCTGAGAGCTAGCTGGGTTTTAGCTCAAGCAATAGAGGCTCATGCACTAAGCTGCAGAGGTTCCAGATTCAGTTCTGCCTATTGGCATTACACATGCTCTCATTTTATCTTGAATTGCATAATATTTGGTGTTTTTCATAAAGTCTCAACTCCTGGTGTCAAATTATTATGTGAATTCTTTGTTTCCAATCTATAAACGTGTTTCTAGTCTTTATGGTTGCAGCGAAAAACTTTAATACATGAGTACTATGTGCCTTAGAAGCTCAAAAAAACCCAGAAGACCAACCAAAAGGGTTCTAGGTTCATTATTTAATCAAAAATCTCATTGATTTGAAGCCAATCCCATGAGATTTTGGGATCTGATTTAGGATTTTTTTAATGTTTGGGGATTTCACTACTGCTTATTGTAAAGAACCTAAAAAAAGTTTGCAAATTTTGTTTAAAAGTGGCATAGAAATTTTCAGAAGTGAAATAAAGAAACAAATGATTTTGCTAAAAAGTGAAAATAGTGCACTATGTAGCAATGGAATGTTAAAATTACACTCTGCTACATGCTATAGAAGTAGACAGATTTAGAGCCATATTTCTCAGGTGTCCTGGAAGAATTTGGATCCACTTTGCAATGTGTTCATAAACTGTCTACTGTGGAATTAGCCCCTAGGCAAAGTGATATTTTACTTCAATATGTGTTAAAAGGCAAGGGAATTTGGTTTTGTTACTGATTTATCTTAGAAATTCTGCAGTCTGATCAGATGCATCCCACTCAGGGGAGAAGAACTCTTTTGATCTGCAATAATTACTTATTAATTTGGTTGAATTAACAAGAAAAACTGAGAAGCTGCTAAATTTCCACATACAATGGAACAAGTGGCAGTTTGATCTCTGAAGCTCAAATTGGGATGTTCTCTCCTCTGAGTCAAGAGTGAATCTATCTGGAATTCATTTGAGTCACATGGAACATCTGGGGTCTGATTCTTCTCATACATTGGTGTAAGTGTGGGAGTCATTCAACTGAGCCTAATGGGGAAATATCCATGGAAAACTGGTAAGAAGGGTAATTAGTATCTTGACAAGGTAGAGAAGCTTCAGCCTGTGAAGGATTAACAGGTCCCAGCCAGTCACATGCTTAGGACAAAGATTAAGCAGTGCTCTTTCTCCTACTGATTCCTGGACCAAGGGTAAACAGGAAACAATAATTTTGTTAAAAAAAACACCTTAGAATTTTGAATTCAGTTTTTATTCTGCATCAGAATGAAAATGATTATTTGATAGGGGAGGGGAGGGGAAGGTGAAATGAAAAAGAGACCAACAATGACCTTCACCCCCAGAAAAGCTAGTGAGACTATCACCTATGCAGTGACAGGGCATGGGCTAGAACCCAGGTTTTCTACTGTGCCCTCATGCTCAGCCTATTGAGACAGTCTCTATGGCCTAATGAATATTAACTTCATAAATAAGGGGAGCAATTCAGCATAAGAGAGTGAACAATAGGTCCATCAATGGCTATTAGCCAGAATGGGAAATTTTGGATGATGTCCCTAAGTTGTATTGCCAAAAGCTGGGAATGGATGACTGGGGAGGGATCGCTTGATTCCCTGTTCTATTCATTTCCTCTGGGGCACCTGACATTCACCACTATTGGAAGACAGATACTAGAATAGATGGACCTTTGGTCTGACCTAGAATGGCCACTCATATATGTTATTTTATGATTCTATTGTTGAAGTCAGCATTCTACCTGAGGTGGTGTAAACAAAAGATTTTGCTTTTAGCTGCTCTGGAAAAGCCTTGCCACACCTTGGAGGAAAACTGAAAAAGGAGTTTAAACACTGTAACATTTCACCTCTCCAGATTGGCACAACAAGGGTACGTCTAGACTACAGGCTTCTGTTGACAAAGAGCATCTACACTACATTCAGTTCTGTCGACAAAGCAAGCTGCTTTGTCGACATGGTAGTGTAGACGCAAAGGACAGTTTACATGCAATAACACCTTCTGTCAACAGAAACTCTGTTGACAGAAGGCGTTATGCCTCGTAAAATGAGGTTTACCAGCGTCGACGAAACTGCTGAGTTCTGTCGACGTTATGTCAACAGAACTCAGCGGTAGTGTAGACGCAGGTATAGTTTTGTCGACAAAAGTCCACTTTTGTCGACAAAACCCTGTAGTCTAGACACACCCCAACAGTGGTGACCGTATCAAAATGCTTTGACTTTGACAGAACAACCATTTGTTTTAGGATTAAGGCTTTATATAAGACAGGGCTACTCAACACGTGGCCCGTGGGTGGGAGCCAAACCGAAAAAGTCAATATAATAGTCTTCTGTTGATATGCATTTTAGTAGTTTAATTCTTGGACTGTCACTGCTCATTAAAAGTGTTGTCATATGCATGGAAATCGGGAAAATATTGCATTTTATTAATATCAGCAGTATTTACTTAAATGGGGCCTGTGTGTTGTGTAATCTTGCATTAATCTTTGTATTCATGCCCATCAGTGTGAAAGAAACTATTTGCAACCACACTTAAGTTGCGGCCCTCGACATCTGCTGTATCATTGTGGCCCCTGGAGCTTCCAAATTTGAGTAGTTTGTGTAATGGGCTCTATGAACCTGTATGTCTTACACATCATGTATAATCTATGCATGCTATGTTTCCTCGATTGCCTGTGTCTTTTTAAAATTGTATTATGCCATTTTAAATGCTATGGCATTTAGAACATGATGTATCTTTCTTTCTTTATTAAATATATTGTAATTGCTTATTTCCTTCACATAAACAATACTTTGTTTTTGAAGAATTACTGTTTGCATATCACTCCTTCAAGAGGAGAGCTGTATGCATGTCTTTCCAAGGGTTAGCGGGATTAGCCTGCTCTGGGGGATCCTCTCTAGGATGGAGACAAGGCCCTGGTAATACACTGGCAATTCTCTTAGGGAGGGACCACCACCTTACTGCTTTGGATGGAGTAAATTCCATTATTGTAAACAAACCATTATTGGAGTACTTGAGCTCCAAATTGTGGGCAATTTGAGCTGGAACTTGAACCTGGGTTTCTCACTTCCCAGGTGAATGATCTAATTTCCAGGACTATTGATCATTCAGGATTGTGTGGGAGGTCTAGATTGGATGTTAGGAAAAGCTATTTCACTAGGAGGGTGAAGAAGCACTGGAATGGGTTACCTAGAGAGGTGTGGAATCACCATCCCTAGAGGTTTCTAAGACCTGGCTTGACAAAGCCCAGACTGGGATGGTTTAGTTGGGATTGGTACTACTTTTAGCAGGGGAGTGGACTCGATGACCTCCTGAGAGTCCCCCTCTCTCACATCAGAAATTCCATCCCGTACCTACAAAATTCTCAACAGAAAGTTTGTCAGAATAACGCACTTCAGCCAAAAGGTTTGTTTTTAACAGAGGCATTTTCATATGAAAATTTGTGGGAAAAAAATCCCAATTAGAGCCAGAATGGCCCATGTAAAAATTGGATTCAATACAGCCTTTCATCTAGTGTAGCTCAGGCAATCGATGTTTATGCTTTTTAGATCCTGAGTTTCAATGGCAGCTGTTGATAATTCCCCCAGGGGTATTTTGTTACATGAACTTACAAAAAAATGTGGATCCAAATCAGTTTATTATTCTACCTGATTTGTGGCCATACTCACAAAACCAGTTGAGAATGAAGGTCTTGAAAACATCTTTTTGAATCAACATAAAATACAATGGACACTGTCTGATTTTTTAATCTACGGTAGCTGAATGCAAACTGTGTACATTATTCTTTGTCCAAACTGAGATGGGCAAAAGACCTCACCTGTAGTAATAATTCCATAGCAAGCTCCCATGGTGACATTCACCTGCTACAGAGAAGCATAAAGTCTGTATGTGACTGCCTTCATTATTAATGATGGCACTGAACTGTCACAATGGTCTCATTTACATTGATGAAAATCTAGACAGAGTAACTGTATTGTTACACCATGATAACTGAGACCAGAATTTGCCCATATAAATATTTTCCTACTTACATGAAACAGGTGTTTTCTCTAGTGCTTCTGCATGATTGCATTTGAAGACAATGGAAATTAATTAGATAGTTATGTGCTGAAATTCGTGGCTATTATTCAGACTGGCCCCCTGTTAACAGACATTTACTCACACTGTCTCGTTCCTTCACTCATGGGGAGTCTTGAAATCAGAGCCACAACATTAAATTACACTTTGAATGGAGCACTATTGTTGCTGCTGGCTTGGTGCCAATTAAATCAAGCTGTACACATAAATAGTCCCAAGGGTACTTTGTTGTTGTTGCTATAATTAATGTAAGCTATTAACTCGAAGTCACAATAGGGATAACTGTATAAGTACTCCAGTACTATGTTAGGCTTTTTTTTGTGAACCTCTTATTTTGAACAATCTTAAGAAACGTAGGTGATGTTCTCTAATCCCACATGTAGGTCCTGTGCTACATTTGCTTTCTGTCCTACAAGAAAACTTCTGTTAGCTCAAAAACTTGTCTCTTTCATAAACAGAAGTTGGTCCAAGAAACGCTACTGCTTCACCCACCTTGTCTTTATAGTTTCCTGGGACGAACACAGGTAAAATAGTACTACAAACTCCAATGACAGTACACGTTACAGTACACGTTCTTGTTTTACTTTTACTAACTGTAAAACATAGGATTTATAGAGGCTTAAAAATAAGCCACTTTGTTTCAGTGGAAATCTCTATTAAGCATTGTCTCTTACTTAAGCTATAGAGAATGAAGACTACTTCATTACAAATTTGTAAGGAGTTTAAAAGAGGATAACAGTACTTCACTGTATGTCTGCAAAATGTTGAGCAGACTCACTTCCTTTTTCTAGACAAAGATTGATTTATCCTCGAGTAAATTGCTCTGTATGCTCTTTCATGCACCTATTATCTACTCTTCTGCCCTGTGCGCCACTCATATACAGGCAGTCCCCGAGTTACGCGGATCCGACTTATGTCGGATCTGCAGTTACGAACAGGGCTTTTCTCGCCCCGGAGGACGCGGGCGGTGGGACGCCCAGATGCGCCGCGGTCCCACCGCCCACATCCTCCGGGGTGAGAGAAACTGCTCTACGTCTCCCTGGTCTGCTGGGGGGGAGGCCCCCCCCATCAGGCCAGGGAGATGCGGAGCACGTGGGCAGCAGGACAGCCCAGACGCGCTGCGGCTGTCCCGCTGCCTGCGTCCTACTGGACCAACCCGGCAGCACCCTAGCTGCTCTGCCCCAGGCGTCCTGATTAAGCCACTGCTGAATGTATGGCATTGCTTTAGGATTGCTTTAACTGGAGGGATCAAGCTGATGCTATAGTGTACAGTAGTTAAATGGAAACAAGCCGAGAAGCGGCGCGCTACTGAAACAACCCAGCAGCACCCCAGCTGCTCTGCCCCAGGAGTCCCCAAGTCAGCCACTGCTGAAACTGACCAGCGCTCACTACAGGAAG